CGCGTGGAAGCAGCATGGGCCACCTGGGCGGGAGGCCACTCGGCAAGGGCCACCTGGGACACAATTACCCTGGCGACGTACCCAACCCCTGCGCAATGCGAAGCATGAGTAGATTGGGAGTCGTTATACGGAGGTGATGACGTGACATGGGCGCATATACTTCTGCGAGCGGCATTCGAGAGGCTCGCAGCCCCCCAAGGATTGCGATGTCCCGCTCAGATCTGCCTGGTGCCTCGCTCCGCTGGATCCACCAGCAGCCCTCGAAAGTGGCGACAGTTTCGCAGACCGCAGCCCCCCAGGGACGGCGAGGTCCCATTCACATCCGCGCGGTGCCTCACTCCGCAGGACCCACCAGCAGCCCTCGAAAGTGGCGACAGTTTCGCAGATCGCAGCCCCCCAGGGACGGCGAGGTCCCGCTCAGGTCCGCGCGGTGCCTCACCCCGCAGGACCCACCAGCAGCCCTCGAAAGTGGCGACGGTTTCGCAGATCGCAGCCCCCCAGGGACGGCGAGGTCCCGCTCAGGTCCGCGCGGTGCCTCACTCCGCAGGACCCACCAGCAGCCCTCGAAAGTGGCGACAGTTTCGCAGATCGCAGCCCCCCCAGGGACCGCGAGGTCCCACTCACATCCGCGCGGTGCCTCACTCCGCAGGACCCACCAGCAGCAATCGAAAGTGGCGACAGCTTCGCAGATCGCAGCCCCCCAGGCACGGCGAGGTCTCGCTCAACTCAGCAGCCCCCCAGGGACGGCGAGGTCCCGCTCAGGTCCGCGCGGTGCCTCACTCCGCAGGACCCACCAGCAGCCCTCGAAAGTGGCGACAGTTTCGCAGATCGCAGCCCCCCAGGGACGGCGAGGTCCCGCTCAGGTCCGCGCGGTGCCTCACTCCGCAGGACCCACCAGCAGCCCTCGAAAGTGGCGACAGTTTCGCAGATCGCAGCCCCCCAGGGACGGCGAGGTCCCGCTCAGATCCGCGCGGTGCCTCACTCCGCAGGACCCACCAGCAGCCCTCGAAAGTGGCGACAGTTTCGCAGATCGCAGCCCCCCAGGGACGGCGAGGTCCCGCTCAGGTCCGCGCGGTGCCTCACTCGCAGGACCCACCAGCAGCCCTCGAAAGTGGCGACAGTTTCGCAGATCGCAGCCCCCCAGGGACCGCGAGGTCCACTCACATCCGCGCGGGCCTCACTCCGCAGGACCCACCAGCAGCCCTCGAAAGTGGCGACAGCTTCGCAGATCGCAGCCCCCCAGGGACGGCGAGGTCCCGCTCAGGCCCGCGCGGGCTCACTCCGCAGGACCCACCAGCAGCCCTCGAAAGTGGCGACGGTTTCGCAGATCGCAGCCCCCCAGGGACGGCGAGGTCCCGCTCAGGTCCGCGCGGGCCTCACTCCGCAGGACCCACCAGCAGCCCTCGAAGCGGCGACTTCCAGGGACGGCGAGGTCCCGCTCAGATCCGCGCGGTGCTTCACTCCGCAGGACCCACCAGCAGCCCTCGAAAGTGGCGACAGTCTCGCAGATCGCAGCCCCCCAGGGACGGCGAGGTCCCGCTCAGGTCCGCGCGGTGCCTCACCCCGCAGGACCCACCAGCAGCCCTCGAAAGTGGCGACAGTTTCGCAGATCGCAGCCCCCCAGGGACGGCGAGGTCCCGCTCAGTCCGCGCGGTGCCTCACCCGCAGGACCCACCAGCAGCCCTCGAAAGTGGCGACAGTTTCGCAGATCGCAGCCCCCCAGGGACGGCGAGGTCCCGCTCAGGTCCGCGCGGCGCCTCACTCGCAGGACCCACCAGCCCTCGAAAGTGGCGACAGTTTCCAGATCGAATCCGCGGTGACAGCGCAGATCGCAGCCCCCCAGGGATGGCGAGGTCCGTTTGGATCCGCGGTGAGTGCCCTCTCTGCTGGCCTCCCCAGCAGCCCTCGAAAGTGGCGACAGTTTCGCAGATCGCAGCCCCCCAGGGACGGCGAGGTCCGTTTGGATCCGCGGTGAGTGCCCTCTCTGCTGGCCTCCCCAGCAGCCCTCGAAAGTGGCGACAGTTTCGCAGATCGCAGCCCCCCAGGGACGGCGAGGTCCGTTTGGATCCGCGGTGAGTGCCCTCTCTGCTGGCCTCCCCAGCAGCCCTCGAAAGTGGCGACAGTTTCGCAGATCGCAGCCCCCCAGGGACGGCGAGGTCCGTTTGGATCCGCGGTGAGTGCCCTCTCTGCTGGCCTCCCCAGCAGCCCTCGAAAGTGGCGACAGTTTCGCAGATCGCAGCCCCCCAGGGACGGCGAGGTCCTGTTTGGATCCGCGGTGAGTGCCCTCTCTGCTGGCCTCCCCAGCAGCCCTCGAAAGTGGCGACAGTTTCACAGATCGCAGCCCCCAGGGACGGCGAGGTCCCGTTTGGATCCGCGGTGAGTGCCCTAGTACCCTCTCTGCTGGCCTCCCCAGCCTCGAAAGTGGCGACAGTTTCGCAGATCGCAGCCCCCTAGGGACGGCGAGGTCCCGTTCGGATCCGCGGTGAGTACCCTCTCTGCTGGCCTCCCCAGCAGCCCTCGAAAGTGGCGACAGCTTCACAGATCGCAGCCCCCCAGGGACGGCGAGAGGAGACAAGAAGGAGGCGGGAGGCGGGAGGCGGGAGAAGGACGCGACCACACCCCTCTATTCAAAACGAATACCCAACCAATGAGGGTTGGGAAAAAGAAAGGAAAGGTCGACGAGCCCGAATGTGTAATCAGATTGGCTGGAGCACTGGATCTTGTAGAAGCGCGCCACCAAGACTCAACCGATGATGTTCCAATCGGCGCGCTGGAACCTGAACATGCCAAATAGGTGAGCGCAGGGGCCCACCAGGCCACTCGCAAAAGCTAATATGTTCCTGCTGCCTCCCTGGCTCTGGGGGGCGAACGCGTCGTTTCTTCTGATCGTCTCTGGTGCGTCGAAAACTGGCGCTTGACTGCATCCGAGACTCCGTCCACTCCTTTGCAGGCCCCTGCCAGGTCCAGTTCGTCAACTTCCATGAACATCCTGATACTTTGATTCGAGCGACGTCTGGCTTCCGCGCGAGATTCTGTGAGTTCGTCCAACTGGCTCACGAAGGTGTCCATGGACGGCAGTAGAGCTGATGTAGGAGCATGTGCCAGACGCTCAGCAGCTTCCCGTCGAGCTGCCTCAATCTCAGCACGCTCGGAACGCTCGACATCGATGCTGATAGCATGCTGTTCATTCTGGCCACGAGCGCTCTCCGTCTGTTGCTCCAAAGTTGCATGATCCCCCCCCATCATCTCAATTCGCCGTTCACGTCGCTGCTGGTCTTGATCAGCACGATAGGGAATCTGTGAAGGTGGCATGGCGGATTTCTTCTCCGCTGAGGGTCCTCTTGGACCACCTTGCAAGCTTGAGTTGTTTTCGCAGAGCGCTTCTCACAGGCACCCCCTGAACTTCCCCGTAACGCCCGGCTGGGACACAAGGTGGAACTCCTCGCGGACCTTACCTGTTGAGGCCTTAGGGAGAGAATTGTTGGACCCGCTGGGGCTATTCCATATTGCTGATGCTCACGCGGGCCACATTTGCCTCCTCCACCTTTGCCTCCCTTAGACCCTCTTTTGTCACCACTTTTGCGCTCTCCTTCTTAGTGGCCGTCCTGATTTCCTCCAGCGACATATACCCATGGAAAACGAGTCCTGCCAGGAAGAGAACCAGAGCCGATCTGAGGAAACGGATGCTCGCAATTGTAGCAATACTTGAAGTGGATGGGGTTCTTCTTGAACTGACAATTGAGGCAAACCACCCCTTTAGGCCCATGCTGATGGAAACCACACCCACGGTCCACGCCAGAGGTCCGAGAACCGAGGGTTGGGCCGACAATGAAACCTGCATGTGTAACGTGTGGACACCAGGGTGCCGTTCCGAGAAAACATAAAGTTCTGAACAGCTTGCGCCCAGAGGGCTACGGTCCTCCTCCCCCTTCTCCGCCACTGCTCCTCCTTCCCCCCCCCTTACCTCTTCATTATCCTCCTTTGTCCTTCTCCTCCTCCTCCACCTCCTCCTCCTTTCCTCCCCCTTTTCTCTTCCTCCCCCTCCTCTTATTTCTCCTCCTCCTACTCCTCCTCATACTCCTCCTCCTCCTCCTCCTCTTTCTCCTCCGCCTCCCCCTCTTCCTTCTCCTCCTGCTTCTCCTCCTCCTCCTCCTCGTCCTCCTCCTCCTCCCGATCCCAGTCATCAGGCATCGGGCAGAACCCGATGGTCGGAACGACGGAACTGGACCGGATCGGACGGCCAGAATCGATCACATCGAAATCGGCCCTGCCAGGGGTCACTCGGCTTTCGGGCCGTAGCTGGCACCTCTGGCGGCCGTTCGGGACAATCAGGGCGCTCCAGGAACGTTCTCGACGAGGGCCCCAGAGGCCCCCCGCCTGAAGCCTTGTGTTCTTTTCGGGCGCACGCTTCCATAGATTACGTATCTGTGGATCTGGCGCGTGGGCGCCAGAGCCACGGATCGGGGAAGGCACCCCCAAAACGTGAAGCCAGAGCCGCCCGATTTGGCCACGGAGCGCGACAATTTCGTCTGGACGCGAAGCCCGTCGTTGACCCGCGCGCCCCAATCCATGCTTGCGCCTCCTCGATCCCCTCGGTTCGCCGTCAGATCCCCCGCCCCAGGCCTCCGAGGTCCTGCTTGGTTCAGCGCGGTGTCCCCGGAGCTCTGGGCCACCTCCCAGGGTACGGTTTTTGGTTGTCCCCGCTTGTTTTCTGGCGGTCCCAGGGCCCAGCGAGGGCCACCAGGTGCCCCGAACGGCTTCGTCTTGATTTTTCCCTTGTGTTTAGGTGGCGACATGCGAACCCTACCACCGCCAACCATCGATTCTCCTGAGTCGATGGGAGGCGGGGGTAGGGTTCCGATTCCGCCACGTGCTCGACGAATTCCGATCACTAGCCCCGCCGCCCATTGAGTTGCCCGAGCCGTTGATCGACGAGGGTAGGGTTCGGATTTCGCCGCCGAGTGTTGGAGGTCTGGGCCTGCCGCAGCCGAGCGCGCGACGGCCGCGCGTAGCCCGCGCCAGCCGGCACGCAGCACAGGCACCACGCCTCGCGGGGGGCAACGGAGAGGAGGCGCCAGTTGACCCACAGGTCGGGCGAGCGTATTTACAAGGCGGGGCAGGGCACGCTCACGGGGGAAGTGAGAGGGGGCGGGCCTTCTCAGGAGGCTCAGAAGGCCTCGGGCCTTCTGAGAAGCTGCCAGGGCCTTCCCCGAAGAAACAAAAACCACTTCTCAGAAGGCGCGGGGGGCTTCTGAGAAGCCCAGCCGCCTTCTGAGAAGGCCTGCTCCTTCTCCCTTCCCCCCCTGGCGCGCCGCCGCAGAATCCATGGATGGGGGGAGGTGCCCTCCCCAAAATGCGGCCGGTGCCGCCTCGCTCGGCGGCGGAAATCGGCGATTTTCCATGGAAACGGAACCCGTCGCTAATCCACGCCCCCTTGATCCATGTTTGCGATCGCCTGATGAGAAGCCCAGCCGCCTTCTGAGAAGGCCTGCTCCTTCGCCCTTCCCCACCCCTGGCGCGCCGCCGCAAGGTTGAGCAAGGCACGGGTCGGCCCCGCTGCCAGATCCGCCCCCGTGCCAGCGGCACGCTGGGACTTGTTGGGAATCGATTCTGCTGTCGGGTAGGTTCGGAAGCCACTCCTAGAAGGTCTTCGTGATAACGGCTGGGGACCATAAGCCTGGGACAATATCCAACCACGGGTCTATCAGCGCCGATGCTGAACTCAGTCTCACAAGGGTTGCATTCTAATGTGGGGCTTGTTGGAATGCAAGTATGCTGTCTGGTAAAGTTTCTCCAATGCATCTAAGGCCGAACTCCCCTGCTCCCCCCCTCGTCGCACGCGTCGTCCGAAAATCGTCGCCCTCGTTTCTGCCTTGTCTGGGCTCTCTGTTTTGTCGCTCCAAGATGGCTCCGTGGCTGCAGGAGGGCTCCAGATCGCCCAAGGCGGCGCTCGTCTTTTTGTCGGCCCAAGACGGCTCCGACGGGGGCCCCAGATAGCCCAAGATGGCCTCTAAGATATCCCAAGGTGGCCAGAGCCAGCCCCAGTGCCGAATGTCCAAAAATTTCAGCTGAAGCCTTTCTGGGGCATCATCGATCGAGCGCTGGCTCCGCGATATCCGACTTGAGGCGGCTCCGTCGGCGTGCAAAAAACCCTGGCGTTTAGCAGCCTCGGCAGAGGAACAAGGGCTGCACAACCCCGGTCCGAGGCGGCCGCGTCGGTGTGCAGGGCCTGGCTCTCTAGCCCTGGCAGGGGAACCAATCGGGGATGGACAGAACCCCCTTTAGTAAAACGTGGTTTAGTGAAACCGACCTCGGGCCCAAATCTGGCGGGCGCAAGCCTGGAAAATAACGGCTGCGGCGCCCTCTCGAGAACCGAAAACGGACAATTCACCAATCGACGTGTCAGGGTGGGGGCTCTGTCCACCCCCGCGCCACAACCGCATGTACACCATTCCTTGGATGTCCGCTCGGATTTCTTGGATCGGCGCTGGGCCCCCCTCGTTGGCGCGCTCCGCGCGCCAGGGGCGGCGCCGGAGGCTCCGCCAGGGGGGCCCAGCGCCGATCCAAGAAATCCGAGCGGGCTTTGGAGAAATCATGTTCGTGCCTTTTCTGGCTCTTCGGCTCGGCTCGTGCTGCATCGGGGTTGGGTTGCCCGCGAGGCCCCATGAGCCTGATCTGGCTCGCCAAAATCTCGCACGATGCTCGTCCAGGGATCTATGCCCAGAAGTGGGGCCCGAAGAGCTATTTCTTTGCACCGCTCGCGGAAAAGGGGGATATATCGGCCTCGATCCTGCTGCGCACGCGCGAAAATGCGCACCCTCCCGCCGCGAGGGCACCATGGCCCGTCGCTGGAGGCCTCCCACATGAGGTCCTTGCGGATGGGGTCCGAGGATGGCGCCGCATCGCCGATGCATTAACAACGTATCGGCGATGCAACGACGACTTCGACGTTGAGAGGATCGGGCTCCACATCGAACCGCATCGCCGATGCATCGGCGATGCGGCGCGATCTTGACCCGCCGTGCACACGGACCCCACCTGGGAGGCCCAAGATCGCGGCCCAGGGCCCGCGAGGGAGGTGCCCTGACGGACTGGAGCGCCGCGCGGTGGCACGCGGCCGGCTCAGCAGCGCGAGCGGGAAGGGCGACGCACGTTCGGAAGCGGATCGGACGACCATGCGATGTGCGCGCGCGTTGCACTGACGTGCGACCGTCGCCCCCCCCTCCCCCCCTCTACGCACCCTCGAGCAAGCAGCCCCAGCTCCCTGGGAGTTGCGCCGGGGCCTCGCAACAAACTGCTCCTTCTGGGGCCCGCCCTGGGCCGTTCTGGGGGCAACTGCGGCCTCCTCGGCAGTCCTCCCTCGACCTCCTGGACCAGGCTGCGATGCTGGGGCTGAAAAAGGGGCGAAGGCTCTGTCCTGAGACCGTTCCGGGGAGGGGGGAGGAGGACGGAGGAGGAAGGAGGAGGACAGAAAGGGGGGGACGGAAGAGGAGGAGGATTTGCATCATCGACTGCACATTACGTGCACATCCTGCTCCTTTGTCCTGTCGTGTGCAGATACTGCGTGGCGGCAGCAGTGCTGCCCAAATTACAGAGTGGCCGGATGCTCACAATGTCCTGCTCCTCGCTGTGCCGACGGAGGACAGACATGAAGATGGAGGAGGAGGAGGAGGAGGAGGAGGAAGAGGAGCAAACGACACGCTGGGGGGAGCGCACGTCTGTCGATCAGCGACGCTGCGGCCCCGCTCCGCCCACGAGGCAACGAGGCAGCCTCAAGGCACGGCGGCAACGGCGGCAGCGGCGGCCAGGTGGATCTCGTAGGGGTTGTTCTGGTGGGGCGAGGCGATGGCGCAAAGTGGTACACTTGATATCGCTCCCTGACCTTCAGCGCCATCAGGCTCGCAGCTGCGAGCGAGTGGTACACGTGGGATCGCACCCTGACCTTCACTCGCAGCCGTTGGATGGTCGGCCTCGTGCTTGGTGCGCAGGATGTTGTACGTGCGGTAGGCCACCGCGAGGCGCGCGATGACATGGCGAGGATTGTTGTCCTCGGTCGCGGGGCTCGCCACGCCAATGCGTGAGAGGAAGTCCGATGAGAGCTGGCCGCGCGGCCTGGCGACGATCGCCCACAGGTGCGGGCAGGTTACGACGTAGTGGCTGATGTCGTCCACGTTCCTGGAGTCATCGCGCGGGTCGCACCCGAACAAGCACGGCTTCTTGTGCGGGTTCACGTGCATGCGGTATGATGTAGTCCAGGCGCCCGTCAGCGACTTGACCGCGGGCCAGAAGAGCGAAGAGGGCGAGTTCGCAAGGTGGTTCTTCAGCACGCGCCACTCGGTGGCGATGGAGGTGGGGACGAACGTCCTCCCAGAAAGTCCATCTCGAGAGGAAGCGTCGCCGGTCGCGAGGATGTCCACCTGGCGCCAGCTCGTGCTTGTCGTGGTAGATGTCGTCGAGGTCGCGTGGTCGCCAGCAGGAGCCGGGCGCGGGTTGCCGCGGGTCTCGCGCTCGACCCAGCGGCGGCAAGCTCGATGTTCAGCAGCTTCCTCGGCAAGTTCACGCTGAACGATGGTTGTCTGTCGCTCGGCATTGTGGACCTCCGGGCGTCGAGAACGAGGTCGGTCACTGCGCTGCCAAGCCCTCGTGCAGATCTCAACCGCCCTGCCACGGCGGGCCGTGTCGGAGCCGAAGGCGTCGTCCAGGTTGAAGTGCGCATCAAACTGCGGTCGCTGCAAAACGGCGGTCACATGGGAGACGCACCAGTCCATCCAGTCCTTGTGGTTGTCGATGTTGTTGCCAAAGAAAACGCTGGGGGCCCAGCGCTCGGCCCAATCTTCAGCACGTTCGTACAGGTACTTCATGGAGTCGTGGGAGGCGGCGCCAGCTGGCGGCTGCAATGCATCTGGAGTCGCCGTCGCGAAGGTGCCGGTTGGTACACTTGGGATCGCTCCCTGACCTTCAGCACCGTCGGTCGGATGGCCGCGACCAGCGGGGAGCAGAGGGAACCGGGCTTGAAGGCGTCGCAGGACAGGCTTGTGGAAGACGCCGTGGTACAGCAGGCGTTGGACCTCACGTAAGAAGGCTTGTTGTGGCGAGGTGCTGGGAGCAACCCGTGTCGTGGTGGAGTCAGACTCTTGCGCCCTGCCGCGGTGCCTGGTATGGTTCGGACCAGCCATGTGACGACTGGCAGCAACAATCGCTTGTTGTCCAGCTAGCGCGGCAAGCCGGCGGGCGCGACTGAGTGCGGAGGCGGCGCATGACGTCGATCCAGTCGAACGGGCGATGGCCTTGAAGATCGAGCCTTTGCCAGTCGGGAGCGGCTGGTGGTTGGCAATGGCGTGGAGGCGCTGTGCAATCGAGGTCTTGTCAACCCAACAGTCACCAGACCATTGGCCACTTATCACTGGGCATATCGGCAGACGTTCGTCGGCGAGATCATGATGGTCACGTAGTAGGGGCTGCCAGCCTGCGATGGTAGTGGTGGCAGCGCGCCGCGTAGTAGCAGCAAGAAATGTCTCTAGGCCCTGCGGCATCGTGGTGGAGGCCCACTGGGGGAACGACAGGATGTCCATCTTCGTGAAGCTCGAGGGCGCCGCTCAGATCAGCTTGTGCAAGCCGTGGATCTCCTTGGCCAAGAAGGAGGGGAAGGCGGGAAGAGCTGGCCCATGCACGAAAGACACGTCACGGAAGCGGAGTTGCATAATTTGATGCGCTGCTGGATGGGGGCGCGGGAGTCACCGAGGATCTGGAGTCTTTCCCACCATTTGGCGGCGGGTCCGCGACATTGAAGGTCAAGAGATGCACCTGGACCGATGTAGGCACCAAGGTACCGCGCCACGCTGCTGATGGTGAAGTCTTTCCAAGGCGTGTAGATGTCGGCAAGGATGCCGCGCATGGCGTCGATGATCTCGGGCGTAGGCAAAGACCAAGTTGGAACGATAATGCACTTCTTGGCTTGAAGGCGTAGCCCAGCATGTAGCTGCGCAGCCTGGAGGCGTGGGAGCAGAGCACGAAGATCGCAAAGGGCGGCAAGGACGACACCAAGGTCGTCCGCGCACGCACTGAGGAGGCCGCGTCCGAGTGCGGTGAGCTCCAGTTTGATGCCCTTGATGATGGGGTCGAAGATGAGGGCCCATCGCGTGCCGCTCAGTGGGCATCCGTGGGCCACCCCAGACTCAGCCAGTAGGAGAGGACGGCGGGTGCCACCAAGCCCAAGGAACGCTAGCGGCACGTGGCAACAGCACTGCATGAGTTGGAGAAATGTGCCGTGGCTGCCCAAGCGGCGAAGCGTTTCCCAAAGCCAGTCGTGCGTGAGACTGGGAAGCGCCGCAGCAATGTCCATGCTGGCGAAGCAGGGCATCATCCTGTCGGCGTCGTCGTCAATGCTGGTCACGCGCGCGATGGTGCCGACCCTGACTATGTTGGTGAGAAACTGGCGGCCAGTGACGAAACCCTGCTGCCCCTCCTCGGTGTCCGAGGCGACCGAGTGCAAGACGCGGGTGGCGGCAGAGGCGATGATCTTGATGTCGCTGTTCTTCATGGCCAAGGGGCGCAGGCAGTCGGGGCTGCGGGTGCACTCGTAGTCGCCGAGCGGCTCGTCGCCCTTGGGGAGCATGGCCATCATGGCGTAGTTCAGGTCGTACGGGATGGGGCCGCCAGTCGCCATAGAGATGACGAGATCGTGGAGCACGTCGATGCTACCGCCGGAGTTGGCCCAGGCACGGTATGGAAGTCCATCAGGGCCAGGAGCAGAGTCACCCGCGAGCCTAGCTGCAGTTTGGAGTGCGTCAACAAACATCAGGGAGCGGTAGATGACGAAGTGGCTGTTGAGGGAAGACCGAGTCCAGGTAGTGGAGCACGTTCTGGTGGTGCACTGGTTTGGCGGCGAAGACGTTGGCCCAGTGAGTCTGGATGGCGCTGTGCATGCTCATCGGGTCGGACACGCTGTGCTGGGTGCGGCTGTCGGAGATGCGGATGCCAGCGAGGATCAGGCGTTTAGTGAACGGCTTCCAGACCTCGCTGCGCCGTCCGATACGCCGGGCACGACGACGCCATTGTTCACCAAGAGCTTGCTGTTGCGAGGCACAGGCGGCCCGCGAGCGAGCAGCGGCAGCAAGACGACGCTGGTCGGCGACCTGAAGCTGCATGGCAGAGTGCTCAGTCTCGAAGGCGGGGCGATCCACGAGGCTGACCTGGTTGTTGTGGATGACGGGGCGGGCTGCACCAGCGGAGGTGTCGGCGCGGCGCAGTCGGGCGAGCGTGACATCCTGGAACCAGATGGCACGGGCTATGCTGCGTAGTGTGAGTGCGCGAGCTTCGGCAGGAATCTCGGGTTCGTCGGAGAGGAGCTCGGAGACGGCGATGGAGGAGAGGGCGTCGCGAGTCTTGTGCGCCGCCAACTTCATTATCTGCTTCATTGTCCGCCACTTCAAGATAGGGCTGGTGTCCGGGAAGTCGGCGCGCTCGATGAGGCGCTGGAAGCATGACATGTAGTGCTTGGACTCGAAGGGGAACGCTGGGATGCCCCGCTCGTCAGCAGGCTGCTGTTGTCGAGGGCGTAGGCGAAGATGTAGAGGCTTGTGGTCGCTATTGGGCTCTCCTTGTCGGTCAAGAGGACGGCCATCGGCGACGAGGGGGGTCTCGATGTGAGGAGTGTTAGAGGCGGTAAGCGAGACGAAGCAGCGGTCGATGGTCGCCTCTGTCATGTTGGCGGCACATCGGCGGGTGGTGGCCTTGGTCGTGATCTCCAACATCAGCGAGAAGAGGTTCTTCCAGTAGACGGGTTGATAGTGGTAGCGCTCGGCGGTGGAGTCGGGCGCGGGGCGGAGCAAGTTCTTCGGAGGTGTGGCCGCTATGTTGAAGCCGGCAATCATGATGGTGTTGTGGGTGTCGGGAGCCAAGGCCGAACGTTGAGACGCAGCCTCCCATGCTTCGCGAAACCGCAGACGATCGGATGCAGTCTGCTCGTAGTTGTGCACGTTGAAGATGGTGGTCTCGTACTGCCTGGAGCTGTCACGCACTCGTAGTTCTCCAATGCGGCCGGGAACAATCGCGCGAAAGCAGCGTAGAGGACGCTGTTCAGGTGGAAGGCGTTGCTCGGCACGATCGAAAGGGATCAGGAAGGCGATGCCGCCCGCAGTCTCAGAGCCGGTGCCGTCGACCATGAGTGCGGAGTTGAAGGCGACGTAGTTGTGCTCGGTGCTGGAGGCCAGGCGGCCCATGTCGATGTGATTGTCGTGGGTTTCCTGGATGGTGGTGGCCGCGCGTTGCCGCATGCACGGCAGGAGCACCTTGCGCTTCAGGTCTCGTTGCGACGCTGATCGTCCATGAAGCGCCTGCGAGTTCCATGGAATGATGTTGAGCCCATCGCGCTGAGGTTTGAGAAACCATCTCGGGCTAAAGCCACTGTGCGGCGTCCAGTGGATCGGCGAACGCGGACGCCAGCGCGGCCACCAGGTTGTCGTGCTCCGAGACGGGGAAGCCTGCGGGTTCGGCGGTAGCAGACCAGCGGACCTTGGTGGCTGCCTCAGGCGAGGCACCAGCAGTGACCTGGACGATGGGGGCGCCGTTGATGGACAGGAAGCCGCCAGCACGGTGGACGCGAATGTCGAGAGTGGGGTGCTTCTCGAGGATGAGCTTGCTGAGCCTCTTGAGCTGGACTTCCTGGCGGACCATGCGGGGCGACTTGTCGGCTGAAACGTAGAGGGGCGTGGCTCCCCCAGACGCTTCAACCTGGGAGCGGCGCCGGTCACGCCCTTGCCGAAGAGCATGGTGTAGAGCCTGTGCTCGAGGGAGGGCCACCACGTCGCCGCCCGTGAGCGTGAATGAAAACCTCTTCGCGGGGCCGTCAGTGTTGATGCGCAGCGCGTTGATGTCCGCGTCGGCGGCGGTGAACCACTCGGACAAGGCAATCTTGAGGGAGCCCACGGGGAACTCGGCGGCGGCTCCGCACCAGAAGGCGGCTGCGTGTGGGGCTCGATCCCAGGAGCCAGCGGTGTCCAGGGTCCAGGGGTGGGTGCAAATACTCGGCATGTTGTAGAGCTTGTTGAAGGGCAGCAACGCTGGCCTGCAGATTTCCTTGAAGTCGCTCAGCACGGTCGGCACGCCCTTCGAGTTCAGCAACATCGCGCTCAATGGATTCCTGACGGGAACAGAGCTGTTCAGTCGTCTTCGTGATGGAGGCCAGGAACTCGGCCTGCGCGGCAGCAACCACTTGCTTGGAGGTGGCCTCGAAGGCGGCGGTGGCCTTGTCGCCTTGGGTCTGCAGCAGGTCCTGTAGCTCCTTCCGTAGGTGAGCTGGGATGGCAGTGGCAACGGGCTTCTGGGCGCCAGCAGCCCAAGGGTCCTCCATGACGATGTCCTTGCCCTTGCCTTCGTCGCTGGACTCGGCAGTGGAGGCACGCGGGGGTGTAGCAGTGACGCCAGGGAGCCGCATGCGGACACGTCAGCTCGAGGAGAGGCGAGGCCCGCGCTCGCCAGCACAGATCGTGCGTGATATGTAAGCTGCGTCCCCGCAGCAAAGTAGATGGAAAGGCACAGCGTTGCGGGCGCAACGAATGCAGAAAGCAATTGTCCTGAGTGTCCACAGACCAGGGGTCTCCGTGCTCTGCTACGGGGCACAAGCATCTTGAGCCAAAACGGCTACGGAAGGAAGCGGAAGAGGAGGAGGAGGAGAAGTAGGAGGAGGAGGATGAGGAGGGATAGGAGGAGAACGAGGACGGAGAACGACGGCGGTGACAGGCGGCAAAGGAGGGCCGCATCTGCCGACGCCCCTCCCCCTCGAGGCGCCAGCAGCGCCCGCAGACTCAGGGCTGCGCGGGGCGCGGCGGCCATCAGCGGGGGTCGCCCAGCGGCGCCGCGCCGCGCCGCGCCGCGCCGAGCCCGCTGACAAGGTAGGTGTCGTCATCGGCGGCGTTGGCTCCGGCAGCGTCCGCTGGTCGTCGTCGTCGTCGTCGTCATGGCCATGGTCATGGTCATCGTCATTGTCGTGCTCCTCGTCATTGTCATTGTCATTGTCGTTGCCATTGCCATTGCCAGTGTCATTGCCATTGTCTTCGTCATAGGCCCTCACAACGGTTCATGTCCACAGAGGGACCTGCCTCGTTGGAGGACAACCGTTTGAAGACCCTGAAGCATGCCAAAGCATTACTTTCGGTACCCCAGCGCCACGGATCGACCTGACTGTTGCGTCTTGACGATCCTGGATCGCGCCAGAACGCGAGTCCTGGGATTTCACCACCGCCAATCATCGTAACTGTTGCGCCCTCATAATCGTGAATCCTTCCAAAACACTGCTTCTGGTACGACGATCATGGAAATCCTTGAGGGTCTTACAAATGTTTAACAAACATGTGCGCGGCGCTTAGGCTAAGGCAAGTCACATGTTGAAAAGAAGACGCCCTCAATCTGTGAAACGTTTTGCAAGTTTTTCAAACGAATGTACGCGGCGGTACGGCGAGAACCACATTTTGAAAACCACCCGCCATTAACCCGCAATGCTCTTGCACATGTTTAAAACGAGTGTGCGCGGCGCTGAAGCGAAAGCCACATTTTGAAAACCACACGACCTCACTCTGTGAAACTCTTGCAAATGTTGACAACGAGTGTGCACGGCACTACGGCGAGATCCACATTTTGAAAACCACCCGCCCTCAATCCGTGAAGCTCTTGCAAATGTTTGAAAGCGAATGTGCGCGGCGTTACGCTACGTCGAGAGCCACATTTGAAAACCAACCGCCATCAATCCGTGAAGTTCTTGCAATTTTTGATAGCGAACGTGCGCGGCGCTAAAGCGAGAGCCACATTTTGAAAACCAGTCGCCCTCAATCCGTGAAACTATTGCAAAAACGCATGAAAGCGGCGCTAAGGCGAGAGCCACATTTTGAAAACCACCCGCCCTCCATCTGCGAAACTGCTGGCAATGTTTAAGCTTCGTGGTCATGAACGGTGAGGAAGTTCCAGGCGAGACGCCCGGCCCGCCCTAAAAACTGGCCTCGGGGTGCGACAGGGCGAAGTTATGCATAAGGAGAATTTATGGAATATGAAGAGGAGGAGGACCAGTGCGAACCCAAGATGCCCTAACGATGCTGCAAGGAACCCTCCCTCCGAAGTTCCTTCTTCCTAAACTCCTAACTACGGGAAGGGCCCCGTTGGAAGACAACCGTCTGAAAATCTCCAACCGCGCCAAAAAACAAACCCTGGGACATCATCGCCGCGAATGAAAGTTTGTGTTGCGAGAGGTCCCACATCGTACCCGCACACCAACTCTGGGACGTCAGACCGCGAATCAACATGAGCGTCGCGCCGTAGAAATCCTCAACCAGACCAAAAAAACACAATGTCTGGAACGTCTGCCACAAGAATCCTTGAAATGGTGTAAAGTGTTAGCACGACTGTGCGCGGCGTGAGGGCGAGAGCGACATGTCAAAAACCGCCTGGCGCCCATCTTTGAAACTGTACAACTTTCACGCATCAGGGCCATAAGCGGTTGGGAGATGTCGTGCGAAACACCGCGCCCGCCCTACCAACCCGTCTCGGGAGGCGACTCGGAGAAGTTATTCATAAAAAGGCGACGGGAAGGAGGAGGAGGAGAAGGAGGAGGAGGAGGAGGACGAGGCGAAGGCGGAGGCGGAGGAGGAGGAGGACGAGGACGAGGAGGAGAAGGAGGAGGAGGAGGAAAAGGACGAGGAAGAGGAACAGGCAAAACGATAAGGAAGAGGAGCAATAACATGAAAAGAAAGAGGAGGAGGAGGCGGAGGAGGAGGAGGAGGAGGAAGAGGAGGATGAGGAGGAGAGGGAGGAGGAAGACGACGACGACAAAAGACGAGGGTCCAAGACTAGGAACAGAACGAAGAGACGGAAACGGAAACGGAGATGGAGACGAAGGATGGGGGAGGAGGCGGAGGACCCGGGGGACCGTCCAGACCAAGGGCCGACGGGGAAGAACGGAGTTGGAAGAGCAAGGCCCTCAACGACTTCCTTTGTGCTTGTTCATGCTGTCTGCCCCCCTGTTGACGCTAACTAAACGCGAGAGTCAGTTTGCTTCTTACGTTTTCAGGGTGGCACTGCCGCCCCTGATGCTGTTTCGTTCGAATTGTCTGTCAGCAAGCTGGCGCCGAGGACAAATAAGGGTGAAACGCGTTGCTTCCTCTACGCGTTTTCCAGCTTGACACGCGTGCTCTTGAGCATTCAACGCTGTCAAACCCCATGTTGGCACCCTAACAACAAGTTTAAGTATTTGTCCCCCATACATTATTCGAGGTGCCATCGCCGCCCTTGTAAACCGTTCGTTGCTCCTTTGTGTTATGATAACATGTTTTTGTTCTCTCTCTCTCTCTCTCATTCTCTCGTTTCTTTTGTTTTCCCCCACCATCCTGTACTGTTGGGTCCTCGTTTTGAAGAGACGGTCCCCGCTTTCCTCTCTCCTTCCTTCCTCCTCCCTCTTCCTCCGCCCTGCGTTTCACCCGCCCAGTACAACGTTTCGTGGCCCCGTAGGGAGCTCCACCGAAGGCCCCAGTGGCAGGGTTCGCATGGTGGCCCAGCGTTTTGGCGCACCCCTCACACGGTTCGTGGTCCCATAGGGGTATCCATCGAAGGCCCCTGTGGCAGGGCTCGCATGGCCCAGCGTTTTGGCGCACCCCTCACACGGTTCGTGGCCCCATAGGGAGCTCCACAGAAGGCCTCTGTGGCAGTGTTCGCATGGCGGCTCCGCCCCATTGTGGCGCACCCCTCACACGGTTCGTGGCCCCTTAGGAGCTCCACCGAAGGCCCCAGTGGCAGGGTTCGCATGGCGGTCCAGCCCCATTGTGGTGCATCCCTCACACGGTTCGTGGCCCCATTGGGAATTCCCCTTGCTCCGTCCCACCTGCCCTGCGGTTTTCACACTTGCGTATGGTTGGGTCCTTCGTCAGGTCGTCAGGATATTTGTTTCTTTTGCTTCCTCGCTCTCTCTCTAGGTCTCTCTCTATCTCTCTCTCTCTCTCCCTCTCTCTCTCTCTTGTTTTCTACGACAAAATGTCGGGCAAGAAAGCTCACCGGGACAAAGTTGTGGGATGGACCGCCGGGGGAGATCTCAACCGCCAGGTCACTGATCTTCACTTGCACGGGCAACCACTTAAAATTCACCACCTGGCTGGTGGCTACATCACAGTGGCGCCTGAGACCGAGAAATCTGGAACCAATCTTGGAGCCACCGCTGATGCCAGGGTCAAAAAGCACTATCCGTTCGATCCCTGGCTGCCAGTTTGTGCACCACTGGTACGGACATCCCAGACTCAAGCACAGAATGCGTAACCTTTACCGCCTCTTCTCGCACTACTACACTACTTTACCGCCTTACCGCCTCCACGGCGCGCGCGCGCCGGAGTCCCCTGGGGCCCGGCCCGCGCAAGCTGCGGCCCAGAGCTGCCTGGCACGAGCCGGTCGGAATCTCGCACTTGGCGAGGGACAGGTGGTGGCGTCACACACTTTTTCCCCCGTCTGCTGTTAGCTACCGCCGCAAGCCTGCCGGCACCAACTCCCCCCCTCAAGGGCGCCCCGCCCCACCCCCCCCCTCCCCAGACACAGGCCAGGTGAAGCGACACGTCGACCCCATGGGCGACGAGCGGACCCCAGGCAAAGGGCAAAGGCAGCGGGGTCAAACAAAATGGGGAGGCGGCCCAAATCTACTAGGCCGTGCGGTTAGAAACCCCACAATAAATGTCCGCGGGGTGAAACACTGCCAGGAGAGGAGGGGGTGACACGAGAGAAGAGGAAGAGGGAACGGGGGGGGGGGGGCACAGCGAGTTGCACCTAGCCCAAGCGGCACGGGAAGAGACGCAACACGACAGCCTAGCAGAAGAGGGGACGCCGCCCTACAAGGAAAAAACAACAGGACCACTTCACGGTGGCTAGACAAACGCGGTGAGCATCACGACTGTGATGCACGGAGAGCGTGAGAACCTGGTGGGCCGCCCACGCGGCCAATGAAACAATCCTCCACCGAATCCCCCCCCCCCCGAAGGGTCGAACGCACATCCTGTTTAAAAACCTCGAGCCTCCTCCTCCTAATCCTCCTCCTCCTCCTCCTCCTCCTCCTCCTCCTCCTCCTCGCGGGCGGCCCTTCGCAGCCGCAAGACCTGTAGGCCTGGCAGCAATCCCACCTCAGGTGGCTGCAAGTACACCGCGCGCTGCCTGGGGCGTTGGGGGGCCAGCAGCTTCTCCCTGTTCGCTTCACTTGCAACGCGGAGCACAACGCCTGGAGCTCGATGTGACTGCGGACGCCATGCCCTGAACATGCGTCCAAGACGGCGTCGAGACGCGGAGAACACGGTTCGACCTCAGCCCTGCCTCTCGAACAGTCCACTGCGGCGATCAATACTGTACACACCAGAGCGATGTCAGAACACGAGCGATAGGCCAGACGATTGTCGAGTAAAGACCAAGTCGTGTCCCTGCATCTCATTTAAAAAACATTCGACATTTGCACGCCACCCAGGACACCCACTCATTTCGAGGCGCGCGGCAGACGTGTGACATACACGCGCATGGCAGTCAGGACATATGAACGAGCCAGGCGCGCCAGGCACTGCCGTCCAAGCGTGCCATCGTGCCGCATTCGTGCTCCTCGGCCTCAGGACCCTCTGCTTTTCGAGACATTGGACGACGACGACGACGAAGATGAACACGAGGAGAAGGAAGGCGGAGAGCAGCGGTGAAGGGTCCGCCCAACGAAAAGAACGTGCTGGATGCGGGCAATGACGCACCCCGTGTCGCCGACCAGAAGCTGCAGCAGCAAATCTGGGGCGGGACTCTCTGGGCACATCTCCTGGCGCTCGCTATCAAAAGCAGGGCATGCACCTAGCGCGTGACGCACCTTCCTTGGGCATACAGCAGTACGGCCCTCGCGGCCATCAAACCCAGAAGGCGCCCCTGGATCTCGCGATGGGCGCTCTACGCTCTAGCGGTTCTTGGCCAGGCGATGGAGCTGGGCGCCATCCTGTAAGGAATAGTGCTACTGGGGCGCAGAAGGCAGATGCGGAGGGCCACCGGTCGTAACGCAAAAGCCGAGTCGCCTCGCAGCCACCTGGAAGCCTTCAAAGGGGGCGGTCCCGTCGGCAGAGCCTGGTAAACTGTCGCCCTGTTCGGCAGGACAAGGCCAGAAGTTGCCACCACGTCTGGTGATTAGGGCACGCGCCTATCCTGGCTGCTGCTCCCAGCCGCGCAACGGGGATTTTTTCTCCGGCGCAACCCGACGACAAGGCACGACTTGGGATTGATTTAAGCATTTGTGCTCGTTTGCGCTTTTTCCGTCTTTTGACCGGTTGGCTTAGCCTTCGGGCTTATTGATATCATTGTGCTCTGGACACTATGGGGATTCCTATGGATTCCAATGGGGGGCAATACGGATTCCTGCGGATTCCCATGGAGGTCCTACGGATTCCTATGAGGATTCCTGTGGATTCCAATTGGGATTCCTACGGATTCCTACAAGGATTTCTATGGATCCCTCTGGGGGCTTTACGGATTCCTGAGGGGACTCCTGTGGATTCCAATGGATTCTTCTGGGTATGCCTATGGATTCCTATGGGGGGTCCTACGGATTCCTATGAGGATTCCTACGGATTCTTATGGGGATTCCCAAGGATTCCTATGGATTCATATGGAACCCTGTGGGTATTCCAATGCGGGTTCCTATGGATTGCTTGCGGTTGGCCCCTGGGACCTCGTGGGGCTTTTTGAGTCTATTTGCAAACCGGCTGGCTGGTGGGGTTGGCGGCCTGGTTGGCCAGCTGGCCACACGGCTGGCTGGCCGAATGGATCCGGGAGGAGGAGGAGGAGGAGGAAGAGGAGGAGGAGGAGGAGGAGGAGGAGGAGGAGGAGGAGGGAGGAGGAGGAGGAGGAGAAGGAGGAGGAGGAGGAGGAGGTGTCTGATTGGACGGCTGGTCGGCTGGCCAGCTGGCTGGTCTGTTGGTCGGTTGATCTGCTGGCTGGCCACCTGTCAGATGGGCTGGCTGGCTTGCCAGCCGACCGGCAGGTCGACGGTCCAGGTGGCTGGGAAGGGGGGAGGAGGGGGAAGAGGAGGAGGAGGAGGAGGAGGAGGAGGAGGAGGAGGAGGAGGAGGAGGTGGAGGTGGAGGAGGAGGAGGAGGAGGAGGAGGAGGAGGAAGAGGAGGAGGAAGATGACGAGGATAAGGAGGGAAGGGTGGGGGGGGAGGAGGATGAAAAAGAGCAGGAGGAGGAGAAGGAGGATCATGAGCCTCCTCCTACCTCCTCCGGCCGATTCGTACCTCATCCTACCCAGGTGAGATGATGTATGGGGAGGTAGAAAGAGGTACGGGGAAGTAGGAGGAGGTGGGAGGAGGCAGGACGTGGTACGACGAGCAGGAAGGAGGAGGAGAAAGGAGAAGGCGGGAGGAGGTAGGAAGAGGTAGGGGTAGATAGGAGGAGGCAGAAGGAGGTAGGGGGACGTAAGAGGAAGTAGGAGGTAGGACAAGGTACGAGGAGGTTGGCACGAGCAGGAGGCAGAGGAGCAGGGGAAGGAGACTGGAAGAGAGGATACCTGAGGAAGTGGGAAGGTAAGGGGAGGTAGACTGAGGTGGTAGGATGTAGGAGGCAGGAAGAGTTAGGGGGATGTGCGAGGAAGTCTAACGAGGTAGGGCGAAGAAAGAGGATAGAGGAGGAGGAGGAGGAGGAGGTAGGACTAGGTAGGAGGAAGCAGGAGGGTCGGAAAAGTAGGAGGCCGGCGGAGGCAGGAAGAGGTAAGAGGAGGCAGGCGGATGTAGGACGACGTCGACCGAGGAAGGAGGTGGTATGATGACGTAGGAGGCGGCGTTGCTGCTTTTGCCACTGCTGCTTGTGACACCGATGTTGCTGCAAGTGTTGCTGTTCTTGCTGCGCCGTTGTTGTCTCTGCCGCGGCTGCTGGCGCTGCCCCTGTTCAGACTCTTGCTCCAGCTGCTGCCGTCGCTGCCGGAGGAAGAGGAAGAGGGATTTTCCCAAACGGTGATGGAACTCAGGTGGTCCTGCTTGCGTGACCTCAAGAAATGGCTCGTGTGTGTTTCCCAAACGGTGATGGAACTCGGGTGGCCCTACCTGTGCTACCCAGAAAGAATCTGCTCTCGCGTGTTTGCGCCGTGGCGGCGGTGTCCTCGTGGGCGCTCGTGGGCGCCCCGTGCGCTGGGTGGATCTGCCAAGAGTCTTGCCACGTTTGCGCCCGCGCCGCCTTGCGGGCGCTCGTGGGCGCTACAGGGCTTACCCGATGCAGCTCCAACCGCGCAGCTCACACCGCAGATCTTGCACAACATAGCCGCCACCTTCTGCTCGCATCGCGTAGCTTAAACACAAGAGCTTTCACCACATAGGTCCCGCCTCCACGGTGCAACAAATCACTGTTTGGGGTCCACGACGGCTAACACACTCCTGAATTGCTTCTTGTTTTCGCTTTCGCACGCAACAAAAAAAACACGTGCATTTCAAGCCACATTTTCGCCTCCAAAAGGTTGCTTGAAATACCAGCCGTTGTAGGCCGATCCGCAGGCGAGAAATTAATGGACGCAGGGATGGTGGGTGGAGGAGCAGGGGCGATGATTGAGAGTAGTTGAGGAGTCAAGGCGGAGGGAAGAAGGGGGAGCAGGAGAATAGGGTCCCAGAAAAGGAAAATAAGATTCGACAGAGACGGGATAGGACAAGGGTCACAGACACGACGTTGTTGCCAAAGCTCATCCCTCTCGTACCCAATCCACCACTCCCACCTCTGCCTCGAGGCAGGGGCAAACAGAGGAAGGGGAGGGGACCTGGGGGGGCGAGGGAGAACGGAAGAGGGAGGACGCTACTCATGCCTTTGCGCTGGTTGAAAGACGGAAGCGACGAGTGTCACTGAGGGGGGGGATGCCCCCCCCCCCCCCCCGTCAGTGACACCTCCAGTTGACTTGAGGTGTCGTCCACCCCTCCGTGGTGCATCCCCAGACCAGGCGCAAGTGGCGAAGGCAATGCGGAAGACACTGCGTCTTGGTGCCTAGTGGGGGTGGGTGACACTCCAAGTCGACTCGGGGTGTCACTGAGGGGAGGGTGCACCCCCCCCCGCTGCAACGCATCTTCATGGGCTCTTCTATGCGTGTCAATTGCTTCAGAAGTTTGCGTGAAATCAGCACCCATCGTTAAGCCCACACTCTTATGGATGCTTCCTCTGCCGCATCCTGACCAGGCCCCAAACGCAACGGTCTCACGGCCCCCGCCGCAACGGCGCGCAACTTAATTTGGCGCGTCGCTGGGGCGCCAGGACAGGGACAACGAATTTCCGGCAACTCCGAGGGCCCCCCTCCGCGACGACACTCAAGCTAACCTGGCGCGTCACTAGGACGCAAAGACGGGAGCAGGGAAAGTCTAGCAACTTCGAAGGCCCCCCCGCAGTACGATACTGAAATTTATTCGGCGCGACACCAGGGCGCAGAGACGTGAGCAGCGAAGGTCGGGCAACTCCGAAGGCCCCCCCCTCTCCGGCACTCAAGGTATAACTCGGCGCGTCACTAAGATGCCAAGCGGGGAGCAGCGAAGGTCCGGCAACCCCACGGGCCCCCCTCCATTACAACATTCACGCTGCTCGAGCTAACGTGGCGCGCCACGAGGGGGCAAAGACGGGAGCAGTGAAGGTCTAGCAACTCCGAAGCCCCCCCCCCTTTCCGACACTGAACTTTATCTCGCGCGTCACAGGGCGCCAAGACGGGTGCAGCGAAGGTCCGGCAACTCCGAAGATCTCTCCGTTACGAGATTCAAATTAGCGTGGCGCGTCACTAGGGCGCCAAGACGTGAGCAGCGAAGGTTTGGCAATTGCGCAGGCCCCTCCTACCGCGCTGCGACGCTGAACTCAATTTGGCACGCCGCTAGGGCAGAAAAACGGAAGCGAAGGTCCGGCAACTTCAAGCGCCCCCCCGCAAGTGAAAAACCCTTCGAAGAGCAAGCGACGCATGGGGAGCCATTCTTACGAGTGCAAGTTGCTCGCGGACGGAGTCGCAAAAGCCATGGGCGAAGCATGCCAAGCAGACAGCGGCGTTTCAAGGCGCGTTTTGGTAGGAAAATGGCGGCTGGAATTACAACGCATTTTTGCTTCGCGTTTTAAGGGGCGCCCCTCAACAGCTCCTTGAAAGAAATGCTGCCGCTACTTCCGCGTCCAATGAAAATGGCTTGCGTACATTCGCTCGCGAGCAATTTGGGAGCAACGTTGTTCAAAATGCAAGGGCGCGTTCGCGGCAGGTTACTTTCCCAGCGCGCCTGGCTGGCGCTTGACGGGCATCCGCTTTCTGCAGGCCCCAGATGCCATGATAATGATTCGATGGTAGGTAGCTTTAAGGGGGACTGGGGGCCCTTGGGCTGGCGACGCGCTCGAATTGTTTGTCGTGGCCTATCGCAGCGTGTACTCGTGTCATGCGCGCGCAGAACGGAACCGAGCACATGCCCCCCCCTGGTATCCCCCCTTCAAAAAATACAAGGCGCGGATGTGGCGTATCAGACCATGTCAGACCATGCGCCGCGTCTCCGCATGCAGGACAGAGGCCGCGGATTTGGTCAAAGAAGCCTCGCTGCAAGAAGACAACGAACCATCGCATGCCTTGCCGAACCGACGCGCAACATTGCTTTGCATGGCAGAGCACGGCGCGGCAGAGCAGCAATTTCCAGGGAGGCAGATCCAGCGCGCCCCAACAAATTAAAGAAACCAAGAGCCCAGAAAGCTCGGATAATCCCGGGCAGTCCCCAACGGATTTGATCGAGCGGGGTTGGGGGGCGCGGCTGCTGCGGGGCATCGGGCGCAGTAGATCGGGGAGGCCCCG